CCAGTGGGAGGTAATTCATGGGTTGATTTTATTACCTAGTGGGAGGTAATTCATGGGTTGAATTTATACCCACTGGAAAATAATTTATGGGTTGGCTATATAGCCAGTATATGGTGATTTGTAAGTATGGGTGGACATTATACCCAATATACAATGTAAAGTTATTTTTTATAATATATGTGCAGTAACAAGCTCGCTTATTTTTAAAACACTTGTAGGAGGAATAGCTACTGTGTTTGCTGTATTCAATGTAAAGTAATGTAATGTAAACTGCTTTGATTTTTGCAAAATAAATGTTCTTAAGTCGGACAAAAAAAGTGCTGAAATTTTGTGAAAATCTTTCTTGGGTCCTATGACAGATATTGTTGGTGACTTTTACAGATTTTTTGAATGCCATAAAAATTCACAAAAATCCCTAGCAGCGAAATTAAGTGATTTACAGTATTTAAATGATAGATGTGTCATCTTAGGAATAAATTCTTTTGTTATATTCACTTCTAAAGAGAAAATACATGGTAGTCAACTGGTTAAATTTGTGAAACATCACTGCTAGAACTAGCTAAAAAAAATGAAGAATTAATGAAATACATGTAATACTGTTTTGCTAAAAAAAAGTACTGGTAAATATTATATCCCCACTTTCCTGCTCAGTTTATTTTGACAATTACTGACCAAGGCCTCTCAACTCAGTGAGAGTCTTTAGATTACAAATCTAGCTTACTCGTAATTTATGTTTATATTCTGTAATTCATTTTTCGTTTACCCATCCACAATCTCAATTGACCCAATTTTGTTCAATGACCCAAAATTAGGGAAATTAGAAAGAAAACATCTGGGTGCGAAAATCTGATGGTGATGGTGAAAAGATTAATTAGTTTGCAGGTGGATTTGCTGTGTTAGTGGAGACCTGTTGCCATGCAGTTGAAATATTAAAATATTAAAGTGGGGGGAGTCATCACCTGCGCATGCGTCAGATTGCCATAGCATGTCATTGTTTACAAACAAATGTCTACCCATGAGCCTTTGTGTTTTTAGCGTGTGTTAACGTTGCTTGGGACTTCCTGTACATGCACAGGTGACGACCCTCTCGCTTTAATTTATTTGTTTCTACATGTGTGGCTGGAGATGCTAAGTTGTTTGTGTTACAGACATCGAGTTACGAAAACATCGAGTTACAAAAATGACCAGGCCCATATTTCAGAAACCATGCCCACTTTTGCGAAACCACCCCAAATTGTAACTCGATGTTCAATGAGGGGATAACAGGGGTGGACAAAGGCAGGTGACAATGGATGGTGAGGATTTCTACATAGATAGTAGTGAATTTAATATTGGAGAAGTAGGAATGGTTGTCTCTAAATTCTGGTCCAACCTAAAAGATTGCAACTGACTAGATGTGGTTACACTGTGTTCATGTACCCTGCCCTCAGTGGTAAAATCATATACCTTAGAAAACAGGGACATGCTCCTGTAGGTATCCCTTTCATGTAACCTTAGTTATAATCCTCTATCCAATTAACAAGAAAACAAAACTGCCTAAACGTAAACAATGACCTGTCAACATTTGTGTAATTATAACAAGTGGATTTTTCATCATATTTAGAGCAGATATAGCATAGTGCACTCGTTATACACTGACAAATGTGAATATTGGCACAGCATAACTTATCAAACATAAAAAAGCGTAGAAAGGTAAGAACTAAAACTGTTTCAGATGTATAGGAATATGTATTAATGGATTATCTATACATGGTATTATAACCCACGTTGCAGGACAGGAAACTGGATTTTCTTTTGTCTTAGACAGAAGTTGCGTGTCCCTGTTTTCTAAGGTCTATGGTAAAATGAAAGTTACTTATTGAGATAAATTGCGTTGGCATTTAGCCTAACTAATAGAGGCGACAAATTATCAAAATTCACATAAATATTTATTTCGACATGCATAATTTTTTCAGTTTTTCCTGGTACAAAATATATAGGGTTCGGCTCACTTTCTAAAACTGTCCATATCAACACACGTACACGTTAGAGAAAAAAATGTGGAACGTGAATATTAAAGGCAGTGGTCGTCGCGCCACGCATGCACGAGATATGGGTCTCGTATAAACGAAGATGGCGACTTTCAAAGTTCACTGTAATGCAGACCCACAAGTACAAAGAATTACCAAGCTTTAATTAGAATTTTTTAGGTGATTAAATGTAATTAGTATAAGTCGTCGGCAGGTTTAACCTCTTACTCATTATTTGCATTAGAAGAGCGCATAGGATTGTGGGAAAATCAAATGTCGCACAGCGCGATGCGACGACCACCGACGTTTAATGTATTGGCCGAAAGACCAAATTTTAAACAGATTTGATACACTGTAATTTTAAATATAATTTTAATTTTAGCATACCATCATTATTACTGATAGGAAAGATTATATTCATACGCTGTGAGTTATATGTATGAAATTGTTCAAAATATTTAAAATTTGCAATTTCTTTTAAATCAGATAGAAATTCAGAAGACAGTCATTATTAGAAGACATTTTGTTTATGATCGTTCCTTTTCTCTTGCCCATGATATGACGTAGGTTCCCCTGACACAGACAACGCTGTCCATATCATTTATTTCTCTCATACGTTTGGCCAGTGTCGTAATAGCCTCGTAGTACTGCGGTCCGCCACTTTGCATAAATATCTTGATTGTTAACGCCGTGTTCATTTTACACAAGTCCCATGCTTCGCGTGGTGCCAGCACATTAAACCTTCGACCATGGGCTCCACTAAGTTTAACACCCAACTTTTTAAGTACCATACCAAGAAATACGTCGTCCCAATTTAAATAACGGACGTAGTGAGACACTGTATACACTCTCCGTGCAATGTCTCCCGAGAGGAAGTACGCTGTGCCGTCTATATAGTCCGGAAATGTGCGTTCCGGGTATTTATCAAACGGCGTATATCGTTCTGATAGACGATCGCGAGAGGGCGTTTCTGAAAGTCTTACAACTCCTTCGGCGAAATCGGATGACGCGGCTGCCCTCAAGTGGCGAACAACAACATTCGCGTTGACGAATACATTGCTATCGACTTTCATAACAAACTTTGCCTGCGGACAGTAACTACTCATCCATTTCATTCCCATTATTAGCGCCAGGCGTTTTGTTTTTCTCCGAATCGGCGAAATCCTCCTGTATGATGTCTCCGTGTCGGGCGCTCTCTTTCTCAAGATACTCGTCCACCGTTTCGTTCAGGCTTTGTCCCATTAGAAATATTGTTTCAACTTGAGATGTGTCCACAAAATGCGTATTTGCCCAGCTATGACGTATTGCTCGGCGATGACTGAATTGTAACGGGGAGCATATCACCATAATTACGAGAAATATATCTCTATCTTCTCCTTTGCCGTCCTTACATAGACTGGGGTTGTTCAGAGTAAATTCGTAATCGTGGGAATTTATCACATTGTCGCTAAACATCGGGGCAACCTTCACATACTCTGCGCCCTCTGTGTTCATGGATGCCGTCGTCGTGTGTATTGCGTCATTGTATATTTTAGAGTTGGAGTTCTGTTTGTTAAATCGAAGTTTTCCTCCAATCGATGCTTTGCGCATAATATGTTTAACTATATCGTCATCAATGGCAATGCCTTCCCCTTTCGGTGCGTTTTGTAGTGTGTCGGTGCCTGCTGGAATATCGTTATCGGCAACCGTGCTGACTGTGCTTTTCTGTCCAACTTCAGAAATACCAATCATGTCGTTATGCTCCGCCGTGACAGTAAAATCGTCCCCGAACTCTGGTTTCTTCACCGTCGTGTGAACCTCATCATCAAATCTTTTCATCATTCCCATCAGAACCCTCCCCTCATCGACAAATCCGGAGTCTGGGTCAATTACTTTCGGAGAGTACTTGATTTTCTTACCCGTCGGTTTGAAACGTTGATGTTTTTTGGAGTAACTCGTCTCGTGGTAGACGACCACGGCAACGATGACCAGAGCCACGTACACAGTTAGTGTCGCTTTCAAAGATCGTCCGAAACGTAATTTGTACATTGCAGTGGTAAGGCAGCGACGAAATCCACTCATAACATTAACTATGGCACTGCAAAACGTTGAAAAGAGCTTTCACCGAACTGTGCTGATCTAAAACCTGTTGACTGAAGAACATTTACTGAGTTTATATCATAACCATAATTAAATTCTGGTAAATATAACAATAAGATCATAACATGTTTCGTATCTCAACTTCATACTTTATTTTTGTTAGTAACACATATATTTTAATGTACGGCATACTGCACAATCACACGTGTTTTATTAGAGAAAATGATGGGTACTACTTGGAGCTAAAGTAAATATAACAGTTGACATACAATACAAATGGGAGTTTATTGTTGTCTTGCTTTAGATAACTGATAAATTCAAGGTGAAATACTTTGATATATATTAACATTAATTTATTTCAGAAGTTCGAATTTCATGTAAAACAAGCATTGTATTACACGAACAAATCCATTGCTCGAATAGTTACTAAGATTACCAACTATTATCTACCATGTGTCTTACGTGTTGTATTACGTCGAATGGAACACGACGTCGTGATGGAACGGCTCAATGTCTGCCTTTTTTATTTCAACATTGTCTTGGTTGTATAAGTATTTATTTTGTGTACTAGTATGTATATATAAATTTGTTATGCAATCGTGGATAATAAAAAAAATGTCTCGTTTGGTGGGTCCTATACAGCGTCTGTCCGAGAAAGTGGCGCGTCAAAATTAAAATTGCGGAAATTTAGCTTCCACTGTAAATAGAAAACCTCCCAATAAAAGAGGCATGATAACTTTTCAATATTTTTTTATATCAATATAAAGATAGAAGTTCTGAGTTTGAGTGATATACCAGGAGGGCGTAGATTATAATGGTAGTTGCAAAGTAGATATGTGAGTTATCTAAACACAGCGCCATGTGCGGACCATAGCGTAATAATGTATCACGAGTGCACATTTATAGCTCTCAGTTTTTTCTCGCGAAAAGAAAACTACCCGATAGTTCATTTCTGCTGGTTCCATTATTATTAGTCTATCAGTTATTATTGACGAAATAGATGCGTTGTGACTCGGAGTTATGTTGGTCGACAGCTCTACTTGTGTCTATTTTGTCAACTGTGGATTCTTTGAGACTTAATCTCTTTAGCGAACACACGCTTTTCAAAAAAAATGGTAATAAAAATGAACCAGAATAAAACAGGAAATAATGCGTGCAACAAATCAGAATCGGCATTCTCTTGTAGTTGCGTAACATGATTATAACTTATTATATTACACACAAATGTAATTAAGTATTCAGGTAAGTAAATTAATTTACTAGTTTGTTCCTTGAAATTTTCTTGAAATGTTACTACTGTAACATTATTATAGACGGACGGACGTCATGCAGTGCACCTTCAAATTTCGTGCCTGAACACATCCTTCTGGGCGGGGGGGGGGGGGGGGCTGTGGTGTTAACAATGTATTTTACATGTGGCATATGGAATACGACAAGTCACAACGACTACTTTATTGATAGCCGAATGTTATCGAAAATTACAGGCCACAATCGTAAGTGTGCGAGTGTGCCAGGGGTTAGGGTTAAATCGACATTTCATTTGTCACTAAACCGATATCATAAAATATTCTAATAAAAATAAGAACCAATAAAAGAGAGAGGTTCATCAACGTTTTTCTTCTCAGGCTGTTCCCATACTGACACACCACGATCGTATGATGTCACAGTAACGTGTCATCATCCATTCCCATCAAGTTTAACACACATGTCCCAAACACGTAATATTCACTGCGATTCATCGTCTGACTGCACGGTTTCGTGGTAAGCTGGAACATTATACCTTGGAAATTCAAGATGCTGCGAATACGCTTATATGTCTTGGCAAAAAAAAAAATAGCGTCGCGTTCAATCAAACGGTTCTATCGTGCCCCGACTTTGCCTCCTGATAAATACCCATAACTCTAAGATAGAACAGTAATACCTGAATTCGACGCCACCCACGAAGGCGACTGCTAGAATAGAATAGAATAGAATAGAATAGAATAGAATAGAATAGAATAGAATAGAATAGAATAGAATAGAATAGTTTTAATGACACCATAGAATGTTTTTTTAACTCGGGTTGTAAATGCTACTAAGTTTTATTGTGTTATACTTGAGCATATTAATGTAGTATACCAATAGTTTGCCAATAAACCATTCATTGATTTTGATATATTATAAAAAAAGTTTAGTGATATTATGTGTTACTGTTATTAGTGTTGTATATATATATATATATATATATGTTTATTCCGGAGTATTGCGAAACACATTTCACCGCCTTCATGTCAAAACATTTATCGTATGTATGCAGATTAACCGCGAAGTTTAGCGTTAATTTATAAAAATGTTCCAACAAACCTGTTACACTTCGTGTCAATGCGATCCGACACGTTTACTAGTTGTTACATTATCTCTTCTTATATAACAATACATCTCTGGCATTTTTGTTCTAAAAGTCGCGTTTGTTTTCACCA